CTCACATTGTAACCCGGAGACAAAACATCTTTCAAAGTTAGTTTTTTCCTTTGGAGACAATCTGTTTCTCTAGGCTTCCCTAGGCCCAGAGGGTAAACAAGGTGGCCCTCTCCTCTGCCCACATGAGTGGACAGAACTTGTCAGTGCTGGATTGGCAGGTTGGGATGGGTCCTTTCCTCAGAGAAGGGAAGGAAGATGGAGGAGGTGGGGTAGGGTTAGAGAAATGAGAGTAGAAAAGAGATAAGGAAAATCACCACTAAACATTGTTGTTTAAGAAGATTGCAATTTCTAGGCCTAGATTCCAGTCACCCACGGAGCTCATATCTGAGTTCCATTGGTTACATTTAGGCTCCTCCCCTTCCATACAGGTCACATCTGAAGCTCCTTAAGAATGCTGGCCTTGAGGGCTGGGGATTTAGCTCAGTGGTGTAAGCACCTCCCTGCCAAGTATGAGGTCATGAGTTTGATACCTGGGTATGCTGGCTGTCCAGAGAGACTGGCTTAACTGAGGAAGGGAACCTGATCTTAAGGTAAAGCAGCATCAGTTTGGGAGAATTAAAAAAATGCTTGTCTGTCTTACAAAAATAAGAGCGCCCACCCCTGTCATTTGGGTCAGGATAAACTTTTTGATTTCTGCCTAATAAAACACATCTTGTGACTGCTACTGTTGCATCCTGAAAATTCTTTTTCTGCTATGGGAATCAGCAAACTTGCAAACTTATGTCACAAATAGGGTGGGTTAGGTTCCTTATCTCAGCTTTGGAGTGGCCCCGGATTGTCTGGTGACAGAAGGAGTGGGGTGGGGTCACCCGAGTATGGATCTGTATGCTACATTGTCTCCTTATAGCCTGGCTCCATTCTGCATCCCTGAACATAAATGCTGAATGCAGGCAGTCAGATCCCCTGCATCTCCTCAGAGCTGGCTCAGAATAGAGCTCCTTTCTCTTCGCCAAAATGAAGGGCCTCCCCTGTTTCTGGGAAAGCAGCGAGCAGAGAGCCCTGAGAAGCTGATGCCAGTGTCTCATTCGAATGAGACTGGATTTAGGGTTTGAGACTCTTGATGTACCCGAAGACTTCAGGACCACAGAAGCAGTGAGTGTGCTTTGCACAAGACAGGGATGTGCACAGGCTGCTCAAGGGAGGGGGCACCGTGATTTGAATGCCTCTGAGGAAAGTCTATGTGTTAGAAAGCTAATCCCCAAATGTGTGTGTCTTGGTTACCTTTTTCTCATTGCTGGGAAAAAATACCCTATACCCAAAATAAAGTAAGGAAAAGTTTATTTAGCTCAATGTTTGTGGAGGTTTTAGGCCATAATCAGATGGCTCCAAGGTAGGGTGGCATGGCACAAGGGCAACACTTCAAGGCAGCAGCCAGTGAAAGCAGCCAGAGCAAAAAGTGGAACAGGCCTCTTCTCCCTTACAAGTACAGCACTCACAAAATCTCTGTGACCTCCTCTTGCACAGGATTAAGATATTTACTCTGACTCCCTGCTGAGTCTGTCAGTTAAACTTCTAAATTTCTCAGGTTGATGCAATGTATCAAGCATAACAGCCTGAGTCACAGTGTTTGAAGGAAATACTTTGGGACGTAGTGAGGACCAGATGTGGTCACAAGGGTGGGCATCGTGATGGCATTTCTGGCTTCGTAAGTGGAAGAAGAGAACTTGGGCTGGCTCTCTGGCCCTATTATGTGTGTGACACCCTCCACCTTATGACAGCACTGGAGAGAGGCTCCCTGCATGCAGGGATCTTGTTTCTCAGACTCTAGCCTGCAGAGCCATGCGCTGACAGAGATCCATGCTTCATCAGCCACCCAGGCTATGGTGTTTGGTACTAGAAGTAGAAAATGGACTAAGATAATACTCAGCAGCTATGATGTCCCAGTCTCACATGTGGTCTTGGTCTCTAGAGTGAAAAAGGAAGAAGATTGGAAGTGGTGGAGGAGCTCAGAGGAGTCTAAGGGACCAGGAGGAGGCACAAAGGAAACCCCCGGCCATGGAATTTTTCAGCTTCACGTTGATTCTCCACGTAGTCTTACTCTGTGCTGTCTCCTCTCCCTCTTAACTAGAAATAACACAGGCTTAGTAAGAGAACCAACCTCTCTGCTCTCCGTAAAATTTAATAACGTAACAACCACCCTTCGTTGAGTAACTCCTCTTCTGTGAGATTTTCACGCTGGAGATGGGTGTCATTGTGGATCACGAAGCCTGTGCAAATCACTGCCACCACATTTGACAGACAAGAATCGGAGGCTGGAGGCTGGGGGAAGTCATTGTAATTGGGCCAATTCCTCACTGCTCCCACCACACAGACTGAATAGAGTCCCAAACCTGTTCATGTTATCTTCCACCTCTTGATTCCATGAAGAGAGCATCTAACTGGGCCAGGTGGGAGAGGATGAGGCCACTGTTGCTGGGGTCTTAGGGAAGGGACTTGTTCAAGTCACCTGCAGCTTGGACATGCAGAGAAGCCCAGGCATGTTTTAAACCAGCAGTTTCTTTTAGAGGTGTATAGGAATATGGCTCCAAATCATTGCAGTTGCAGAAAGGATTCCATTTGAGATGCTCTGGACTTGTAGTGAGCTGGCATCTGAAAAAGATAGCAAGTCAAATAAATGGGGCACACACAGGAAACCAAGGTTCTCCAAAAGACTAACAGAGAAGGTACCAAAAACGGGAAAGGAAAAGCAAAAGCAATAATAACCCCTGTCTCTCAATTAGATTTTAAGATGGAATCAAATGAGTGGTGATTTTTCATTGTTATTTCCTTACAGACTAATTTAATAGTTTCGAATGAAAGATTTGAGCGTTCACTTTCTGTATGATGCTATCCATCTGCAGTGACATATACAGTATTCTGGTCATCATTATGGTACACCATTGCCCTTTTGAAATCTCTCATTATTCTCATTCCTGCATTTAGGACATCTTTCTCATGGCTACTTCTCTGGTTCAGTCACCATCTGGAGAATATACTGATGTAGAAGGGACACATTCCAAAATCTTCCCTCCTGTCTCCCCACACGGGTCTGTTGATGTATTTCACAAAGAACTGCAAGCTTATTTTGTCCTGTCCAGAGAAGGGGAAGGAAGGTGCTGCTGCAGGAGGCGCTGGATGGGAGGAAAAGGGGATGCTTCCAGTCCACCAAGGAACTAGCTTGAGACTCATACCAGGTGTGGGAGGGCCGGTTACACCTGCCTGCTCTTGGCTCCGAAGAGACACCATTCAAGTTACTTGCTTAGGGATGCTGCGATACAAGTTCTGCCCTGGGACTCTGGGTGACTTTGATCTTTTCTTCTCTTAATGACAGCTTAGTTTATGCCTAAAGGATGGAGACACAGCTTGGTGACATAGATGAGGAGGCAGAAAGATCAGCTGTTACCTTCAACCCTTCCGGGTTTAATATTTAGTCTCGATTTATCTTCTTTCATAAGGAAATGAGGAAAGAGAGAGAGAGACAGAGACAGACAGACAGAGACAGAGAGACAGAGAGAGACAGAGACAGAACCAGAGACAGAGAGACAGCCAGAGAGACAGGAAAGATGGAAAGAGAGTCTCTTGACCTTGAAGAGATTGGATCTCTGGTGTCAGAAAATGCAGAAGGCACAGTCACTTTATTTCTGGTAGTAAACAGAGCTCTCAGGAGGTTATTAATTGGGGAAGGTATTAGTTTGTCTGCCCTATTTAGTGTAGTGAACTACACACTTCATACTCTTTTAGTAGCCTGAAAAGATTAATTTGCTGTTTGGCGTGAGTGACCAAACCTTACCTTGAGTCCTGACAATGTACAATACTCTTCAGCTGTGCATTACTTTTTGATTAAGAGTTCTTGATTTTCCTATTTCTGTGGAAAAGGAAGTAGGACTGGAGACACTGTCTTGGGGAGCACAGGACAGCTGCAGGCGAGAATGCTCCCTGGGGACGAGAGAGGACTTAATGTAGATCCTGATACCAGATGGAGAAAGGTCCAGACAGCCAGGAATGACTCTGAACCCCTTGTATTTCTAGCTTTGCTCCTTTAACCTGGGATGCTGTGACCTCTGAGTCAGCTTTAGGGTTCTGTAAGCTGTTGTGTGCCCTCTGTCCCGAATGTTCTGTGAGCTGTTGTTTGGGGGCTAGAATGGAGTTTGAAGAACTAACAGCTGTGGATCTATTGCCTGGGACTCCAGAATGCTTGCACTGGTTTTTGAATGAAAGAAAAGTGTGTGATACATTTGCTTCATTGCAGAGGAGTGGGAGGAAGGCACAGGCAGCCGAACTGTATTTTGTGTCTAAATAATGTTTACTGTCCTCTTGGACACAAGAGAAATACTTCTGAAGGGATATGCATCCTGGGTTGCTCTTACAAGAGGGACACAGATCAGCCCCAAACACCCATGCCATTGCTTACCCAAAAGACAAATATGTTAGAAATATAAAGCCCCACTGGCCAGAAAAGTGTCTGAGCCTGAGCGCTGTGTGTCTGTTACATGAACTTCTCCACCAACACCAAACTCAGCCTTTGTACAACACCACGGTGAGGATGGTCCCTGGCAGGCCACAGGCAAAAATGTGCTTAAGGGATTATAGAAGATGTAAAGATAATATAATTACATGGAACTGTAATGAATGCATGGGTACCTGGATAAAGACACTGTGAATGAAATTTTGAAGTAGATCTTGTTAAGCCGTGGTTCCGGATGAACTCAGAGCAGGCAGTTGTCACTGAGAACAAGACATCACTTTCAGTCTGTGAGGATGACAGAGACCTGAGTCCCCTGCCCAGAACCTGAGCTGTGACTCCCCTGCCCGGGGCAGGCAACGCGACTGCCGTCTCAGGTGTCTCCTGGCCTGGTGTGTTCTGGCTCATGGGCTCCGGAGGTCGCCCCTCCCCTCCTGCCCGTCCTGGCTCAGTGCTGGGTCCCACCACGTGGGTGCCCGGGCGGGGGACACAGGTGTCACTCAGAGCGGGCCTGAGGTGCGGGCGGGATATAAATAGGGGGCGCCCTCGAGCTGGAACTCGAGTGCTACCGCCTTCTCTTCCAGCTCCAGGCGGCCAAGCGCTGCCGGGCGGGAGCGGGACGGAACGGGAATGGGGACAGGAAACCGGACGGGGACGGTGACGGACCGGCCCACCCCGCGCTGCAGAGCCGAGACCACGCTGCCGCCACCGCTGCTGCTGCTCCTGGGCCTGGGTGAGCCGGGACGGGAACCGGGACAGGAGCAGGACTGGGAAGGAGACAGGGCTCAGACAGGACCCGCGAGCAGGCAGGGGCCAGCAGGAGCCCTGCACCTGTCTCGGGGTGCCCTGAACCCCGCGAGGATCAGGGTGACTTCGGGGACCCTAGTGGAGGGAGGGAGTGCATGGCAGAAGCCTGGAGTCCAGGGGTGACCTGGGGGCTGAAAGGGGTGCTGGTCCTGCAGGAGGAGGGTGGAGAGAGCTGGCTGCAGACCTGGCCTAGCCAAGATGGAGAGATATTGATTGGCCCTTAGCATGTTCTGAGGGCCTAGGCACAGGCGCTGTGGACTTGCTGGCTGGGAGAAGGAGCCTCCACGTTCTTCCTGAACATTGGGTGTCTGGGAAGGAAGACAGCTTCTGAGACCTTGCTTACGTGGCTGTAGGGATGCAGGGAGGGGAGATGGCATGATTATGGGACATTTGTGATTGATATACATGCACACCTGAAGAAGGAGACAGACACCAGAGAGGAAGCATTTCCTTCATTAGGGTTATGGTGGGCAGGTTCAGGACCTTTGGGTGTAACCTTGGGGTGAGAAGCAGGTGTCGGTGGCCTAAGCAGGCGGCAGGCACTCACCCCAGCTCCCAGGCCCCTGTGGGACTCAGGCTGGCTTCAGGGAGGCCATGCCCCTCCAAATGCATGGGGCGAGAAGGCACCTGGGTGGGGAGATTGTTCCACCTGGGCGGTGCCCTCTGCTTCTATGGCTGTATGGAGTACAAGGAGGGAACTGACTCAATGGTCCTAGCTGACGTGTGGCAGTAGGCATTGTAGCTTTGGAAGGGGCTTTCCTGGCCTAAGGGGCACCTGGACATCACTCCTACCTTCCATCCTGGAAGGGGACACTGTGTAAGAGAGGACAGAACTTTCTTCTAGGGAAGCAAAAGTGATGACAGTCTCTGAGTTTTCCTTTGGCTGTGTCTTGGGAGTGGCCCGGGTGGCTTGCAGGGTCCTGAACTTGAGTGAGGAGGACTGGATTTAGGATCAAAGTCCCAAGGCAGGGGCTGGCTGCCTGCCCTGACAGGTGGGCAGAGTGTCATCCCTGGAGGCCTATGGCACCTGAGGAAGAGCCATGCCCTGAGTTTGGGCCTGGGGACAGCTCAGAAACTCTGCATGCTCCTCCTCCACCTGGGGCAGCTGGGATGCCAGTGGGGAACCAGGGGCAGAAAGGAGCCCACAGCCTCCCTCAGGGAAGCCACTTAGTGCCGGCTGGTGATGACAGGGAGAATGCCCTGTCCAGGGAGGGCAGCAAGCACCCCAGCAGAAAGCAGAGGCTCTAAGAACCCAGAAAAGTCAGGTTAACACATTTGGATGCAAATGAACATTCAGTTAGGTGCGAATCACCACAGGGTCTGAATCAGGGAGTAACTGTACAAATGACCACTTAGAAGAGATGGATGGGGCTGCAGGGTGCCCTGCGGGGACACAGCTACCCAAGCTTGATGACATTCTTTATTTCCACTTTTACTGTCACTCAAAACTTGTCAAAAGTTAGAGATAAACAAACAAAATACCACCACCGACAACTTCAACTCAGTGCTGTTTGAACGCTCAGCACCCAGCCTCTGTGTGGGAGCGTGGCCTCTAAAAACTGAATTCAGGCTCGGGAACTCCCTGGTAGTTATACTCTGTGAATGTCAAGGGACATAAGTTGATGTCCTCACTGTTCCTGTGAAGCATTCCTGTCACCATCATTTGTATCTTACTGGGAAGCCCTACCCTCAATTTAAACCACACGTGTTTATGTGCTTTTGTGAGAGGTGTGGTCACTAGAGGCTGGCCTGCAGCTGCCCTCCTGCACTCCCGAGATACCTGTAGTCACAACTTCCTGGTGGTTGTCTTCCCCTTATGTAGGGGTCTCTTTAGGTGACCACACCTGTGCTGCCATGCTCTTCTCTAGCACACAGCAAATCGAGGATCGCTCCTATGGACCACAAATGTGGACACTCCTTAGTAGGCACCCCTTGGGTTTAGTAGATGGATCTACACAAGGCAATTTTAATTCTGACAGATAAGGGGAGATGGAGTTGGAGATGATATGCCACACTGTCTTTGTCATTTTGCTCTTGTTGGGAGGAAACACCCACACTCACTGCTTAGAGGAGAGGAGGGCAGAGACAGGACACATGGCAGGAGAGCAAGGAGGGAGAAAAAGTACTCAAGCCCTGCCAGCCAGGAAGCGGAGAGCAGAGGAAGGGGCAGAGAGGGAGATGATCCTGGCAGGCCACGCCCACCCCTTGTGACCATCTCCTCCAGCTCCGGGCCTGCTTCCTAACAGTGAGCTCAGTGGAACTCATCAGATTAATCCGACGATGAGTGTATCTACCCATGACTCAGTCATTCCCAAAGCCCTGCCTCTGAAAACATGAGCTTTTAGGGGACTTTCTAGACCTGAATCCTACCAGCTAGGATGATTAAATTTATATATGTAAATTTAACATGGATATAAATTATGTCCATATATTGTAATTATATAAAACATACACACATATGCATATATGTTATTGGTATCCTTTATATACATTGACTTGATTTGATTTTACTCCAATGATTTAAAGATAGTTTAAAAATATTGTTAGAAATTTTGAGCCTCTTGATATCATTTCACCCAAAAATGGAATTTTTTCAACTGTGTTCTTTTGTTAATGGATCCTTTTTCTTTTGTTTGTTTGTTTTTGTTGGTGTTGGGGATTGAACTTTTGCATGCAAAGCAAGAACTCTACCACTTAGCCACATCCTCAGCCCGACAGATCTGTTTATTATTGGAATTTAATTTCAGAAGTTGAGAGAGAACTGCCAAAGAAGAGACAAGAGACTTCTATTTTTCTGCCTACGTTATCCAGGATGAGAAATAATCCCGTTAGAATGACTGCCGGCTCTGAGCCTTGTGGGTATGGGACTAGGTCTTCATTCATGTCTGTTTCTGATTCTTTCAATAATGAGGAGCCAACCCTCAGTTTAGTCTCACAGATAGCAGGGAACACCCCACATGACTTCATCCTGAGCCTGTGCCTATGCCATTTTTAAATCCAGTCACAGAAATCACCTCCTTGGCTCCAAGGATGGAGCTTTCTAACTTCTCAGTGGTTGTATCCCCAAAGCCTAGTGTGAATTTTGGACAGTTTGAACCAAAGATCCTGCATAAACAGTAATTGGGGTTGTGTTTCCAGGTCACTCACAGAAAACTTGAATTTCACAATGCACTTACAAGATAGACTTAAAGGCGAGTGTTTCATGTTAAAGTCTGTAGGTAAAGATTAGGTTAGCAGACACTACATTGGCTATCATTACTGTATTTTCAAAGCATTGGTTTTATTTCATCTGTGAGGGCTTTGGGGGAAGGCAAAATAGTGTCTGAGTATCTAATATCCTCCGTCCACTGACCTCATTCACCACATATTTGATGAGTGTCTGTTAGGATTCATGGCACTGTGTAAGTGAAGACGCCTTGAATATATTTGTGTGATAGAAGACTCCTTTCAACTCGGAGTATTTATACTTCAGGTGGAGGACAAAAGACAAAGATTTTGGGGAACGCAATTTTTGACTCTAAGATTTGCAGGTCCAGCCTTCCTAGCCTGGCAACTGTTTAATACCAGTACTCACGTGTGTAAGTGAAGTGTATTCCAAAATCACTTGTTCAGCAGGTGCAAAATGTTTTGAATTAAGTAGCCCTCAACTTCCCTTTGAAACAAGCAGGTTTGCTTGCTCATATGAAGAATTTAAAACTCAGACACAGAGGCTTTGGTGAATCAACTTCCCGGTTCCTTCACACTGCTCTGAGACTGGAGCTCACCCTGTGGACAGCAGTGAGGATCAACTGCCCAGCATCTGTGGAGTAATGTTTCCTAGGTGGTCCCAAGGAGGATACGTAGCTAGCACTATTCTTAAATCAGTCTTGCCATTAGGTCAGGATGTTCAGAACTAATTCCCTGGCAGGAGGCTGGGGGAGGAAGGCTGGATTCCCTTTAACTCTCAGCGCATCTCCAGGAGGTGGAAGCTGTTATTAACAGCCCACCTTTATACATGCAGAAGCTAACACTTGGAGACTTAAGTGGTACTCTAAGACATATCTTATTCCTGGGACTCAAACTTGGGTCTCCAAGACCCAAAACTCCAAGAGCTGTGCTCTCTGCACTACCTTGACTTGCCTCTGTGCTTCATTTATTACTAATGGATCTTAAGAGATAATCCCAGTTGTTCATACTGCCACAAAACAATTCATAGATTGCATTGTCAGAAATATGACACCTCCAATTCAAGAGGAAAATAGTCTGATTAAAGTAGGCTGAAGGCCAGCTTCCCAATACTTCTTTGTATCTTTAAAAAGGAATTTTAGTAGCTCAAATGAATCTCTAATTGTAAGAATTTGAAGAGACGAGGAGAATTATTTTTTTAAAAGACTGGAGAGAGTTATTTAATCTTAATTTACATCAATTAGACAGTTGACTAGTTTGCTTCTCAACAAGGTCAATCAACCATGAAATACTTTCATTCATTCTTTACATTTTTTCTTCTTTGGATATGCAGTGTGTTATTTTTAATCATTTGTAGAAGAGAGATATTAATTGCAAAGTGGAACAGAAAGCATAACAATGTTCGTAGTTAGCCTTCTTATTTAAAAGTGCTGAGTGAGCTGTAGAGAGGAATGGGTTACAAATATAACAGTTCCTTCTCTGCAAAATTCTAGAGACAGACCCAGGACATTGTGTGGACTCACACATCTGCTTGACCTTCGTTGTGGAATGGAACATAGTGACTCTTGCTTTGGGTGCGCCTTTAGAACTCAAAATACATTTTCATGCCTAGTACATTTGCTCTTCACAGTCAACACAACAGCAAACACAGTTAAGTAGTGAGGCCCTAGGCTGGGGTCTAAGTGCTCACTAACCCATTTTGTGCACACAGCATTGCCCACCAAGCCCAGGAGTTAGATGTCATTACTACCCCATCTGTAG